CCCCAAAACCCCAAAACCCCAAAACCCCAAAACCCCTAATTCTAAAGAAATTATTGAATTTTCCTTTCAAAACTATTCAAAAAGCCTAATAATTTGAGGATTCTTAGGCTTCACTGCAATATTCTTTACTCTTTTCTTCTTAAATTTATACAACTTCGATGCATTTCAGTTATTAAAGCCAGTTTTGGTGCTCTTCAGAGCTGCTGCTTTTGTACTATTCCTTGTCCTCAACTTCACGAAAGCATTCTTGAGGATCTTATTAGAAGAGTTGACAGGCTTTGTCACTAGAGATACTCCTCCAGGTCTCACGGGAGGCTTGGATTTAGACTCAGGTTTGGCTTTACAAGCAGGTATGGACTGATTCTGGGCTACTTTATATATCCTACCTTTACCTCTGACTAAACTTGGTTAGGTATAAGCAATTACATCTATTTTGAACTTTTAGAGCTCTCAGACCGTTTCTCTACCGGACTAGCTGTTTTATTTCTACCGGCTCTATTTTTCTTCTCAGTTGCCAGATTTTCTGAATTCAGTCTTTTCTTAGTGCAATGAAAGTCAATCTTCTTTGGTGTGGATGGGCTCTGGTCAAATTTTATAGCTTTAAGAGCCTCATTTATGCTCTATAATATTATAGAAGAACATACCTGAGCCCTGACTATAGACTGAGGAGGTATGTTCAACTTCCTGAAGCTCTTAATCGTCTTCCTCTTTACCGATAAAGAGCTATGCCTTTGAGCATACAAATTTCTATTAGGTGACTCTGAATTCTCATTTTTCTGAGTAATACTGTCTTCTTCCCATGCTTCCTTGGGCCTATCAGCTGGAGAGGGGGTTTTAGTTTTATTCAAGGCTAAAAATCATATCAAAAAGCTTACCTTTTCTTTTATAATTAGACAGCAAGCGTATATTTTCAATGGCTTCCACAAATTGCTTATCAGTACAAATACTGTTGAAATCAGAATCATCTTCCTTCTGTGGATTGAACTTAATCCTCTCCTTGCTCAACAAAATCTGCTTTCTTGGAATTTTAGGAGGCTTAGCGCCCTGAAATCTGCCTTTCCTTAAGCTGAGATGGTTCTTCACAGAAGAAATGCCTTGAATATTCTTCAAGTTGAGGTATAGCTTATTTCCTGAGCTTTGAGTCCTCATTACTCTTCCCTCTGTAGACCTTGATCTTCTTCTTAGAAAGTGCCAAACGAGGTTTGAATTCAGAAGTCCTCTCCATTCATGGTGATTGAGAGCTAGCCTTCAAGATACCGGTCTGGGTCTGGTTCAGCTGCGATCTGATATTCTCCTTGGTTTTAATAACTTTGTATTTCAGTACTGTTCCACTCCAAATTTGTATTCTATAGAGAGTTTAGAACCTTGCATCTGACATAAGCCCAGAAGGTCTCCAAGTTACAATCATATGGTGATATTTCGCTAATTTTAAAGGAATTCAGGATGCTATATTTCCAGGCAGATATAATTATAGAGAGTTTGGCTACTAAAAGGTTGTAAATAGCAAGAGGAATTGTGTATAACCTTCTTTATGAGATTATTACAATTTTAATAGGGCGAAATTGTTTACAAAGCTCTAACCTCTTGAAATCTACTCCTAAAGCCTCAATCTTGGCACTTCTGCTAAATTAAATCCTACATGTTAGGGTTTGGTGGGGTTTCTGGTTTGTCCCTACTGTTTGACCTCAGAGGCTGTCCTAGCAAGCTGGGATGAAAATTTCGGAACACTTTCTTAAACTTCTCTTTAAGAGCCCGGTTTGCCTGGTCTAAATTCTCAACTTTCATTTTTATTATATTTTTCAACATAACTGCAAAATTATGGGGTTTTGGGGTTTTGGGGTTTTGGGGTTTTGGGG